ACGAACCTTTCTTTAAGGGGGGTGTGATTGAGTCATCCAAGTTGTATACACTATCAAAAATCATTATGTAATATGAAACAAGTATTTTAGGAATATCACGTTTTTATAATAATGTAATAATTCGACTAAGAGACCTAACCACTTCAAAAATAGAATGGTTGGGTTCAATTGCATCCAACAATTATCCATTTTATCTCCCAGTAAGAACTCTTGCGTAGGGACTTGCAACGAGTCACCATTTTTTTTTTTTTTTGGTTTTTGTGACTAGAGCAAACAACGGGTCTTGATTGATCCTATTTTTCACCCGCTATGTTAATGTGTGATAGGAATTTAATAGATTACCTGATGAATATTATCTATAATTTGTGCCTCCAAATCAATTAAAATTAAACATTATTTAAAATGTAGATTGGATTTGAAAATCCTAATATCCTATACATGCTCATAAAGGTCACAATTTGGAAGGTGGCAAAGTCAACAGACATGATCAACCAACATAATTTTTGCTTATCCACTTTTCTGTATTGTACCAAAAAAAAAAAAAAATGAACGGTCCACAACTGATGAAGAACTTCCACCGTTGATCAAGCCTATAACTTTTTACCGACTACCAAGCCTTACAAATTTAGAAAAAAAAAATCACTCAAACGAAAAAGATATTCTTTTCATTACCAAAAAAAAAATCACTCAAAGAAGGAGAAAGATCAATGGAGTTCCAGAATTGTTTTTATCACTATAAGATTATAAAATCATCATCATTATTTATTAAAAGTAAGATTGAGACTATAATAAATTCATAAAATAAAAATAAAAAACTCAGACGACGAAGAAGAATGAGAAAGAAAAATATGGAGTTGCAGAATTATTTTTATCTCTAAGTAAACAGATTTTAAATCATCATCATTTATTAAAACTAAGATTGAGATTATTGTAAATTCATAAAAAAAAAAAAAAACTCACACGACGAAGAAGAAACATAAAGAAAAAGATGGAGTTGTAAAATTATTTTTATCCAGGGATTTTTAATCATCATCATTTATTAAACTAAAGTTGAGATTATAGTAACCTTATATTTAAAAAAATAAATACGCATTTTCTATTAACATTGTCACTTTTTTAGTTAAAATTACAATTTTTTTGGTTAAGAGTATCATTTTTTTATTAACATTAGAACTGTTTTGGTTAATATTACCATTTTTTTTGTTAATATTACTATTGTTTTGGTTAATAGTACCATTTTTTTTGTTAACATTACCACTATTTTGGTTAAAAGTATCACTTTTTTGGTTACTGTTACCACTTTTTAAGTTAACATTATCACTTTTTTGGTTAAAAGTACAACTCTTTTTGTTAATATTATCATTGTTTTGGTTAAGAGTACCATTTTTTTTGTTAACATTACCACTTTTTTGATTAATATTACCACTTTTTTTGTTAACATTATCACTGGTTTGGTTAAGAGTACAATTGTTTTGGATAATATTACCACTTTTTTTGTTAAGATTACCACTATTTTGGTTAAGAGTACCACTATTTTGGATAATATTATCACTATTTTGATTAAGAGTACCATTTTTTTGGCTAATATTACCACTATTTTGGTTAATGTTAACATTTTTTTGTCTTAACATTACCACTATTTTGGTTAAGAATACCACAGTTTTGGATAATATTACCATTTTTTTGATTAAGATTACCATTCTTTTGGTTAACATAACAACTGTTTTGGGTAAGAGTACTACTATTTTTTTTAACATTACCATTGTTTTGGTTAAGAGTATCACTTCTTTGATTAACATTACCACTGATTAAATTAATATTACCACTCTGTTGGTTAAGTGTACATCTTTTTTGTTAACATTACATGTTTTTTGGTAAACATTACCATTTATTAGGTTAACATTATCACTCTTTTGGTTAAAATTACACTTTTTTTGTTAAGGTACCACTTATTTAGTTAAAATAACAATTCTATTGATTAAGATTACAACCGTTTTGGTAACATTACCACTTTTTTGATTAACATTACCGCTGTTTAGTTTAAAAGTACCACTTTTTGGATTAACATTACTATTTTTTGGATCAAGAGTACCACTCATTTTGATAATATTATAACTTTTTTGGTTCACATTACTACTATTTATGATAAGAGTATCACTTTTTGGGTTAAGATTATAATTTTTTTGGT